AGTCGAAAGGTATCCCCCTTGAGGGGGTCAAGGGTTGCGCCATGCATTAAATGCGAATAATGCAAAGGGGCCAAAATGCATGGACCTCAATAAACGAAGGGTCCAACATGAATAGACTATGGCCGTGCATAGGCTATGAGCCTGTGGCGGCGGCGGCGCGATGCGCGCGCGCGCACGCTCAGGACACGCTATGGCAAGGAGCCAATCTGGCGTGACAACCAGCTGTCACTAGCTAGCATCGTTCAAGGCAGTAATTCAGCCTGAGTTCTGATACCTCATGCAATCGTGCAGATTTTCGCTCCCGCAATAGCTGTGTTTTGGCGATATCGCTGACTTGAATGCCATGCAGGAGGGGTGCAGGGACTTTCTAACTTTTGTTAAGGAACTATGAAAAAGGTTTGTGCCGAAAATTCGATGATTTGCCGGAGTCGAGCGTTGGGACTCCGGAACATCTCACCAATCAGCCTGTTGTACGCACAATTTTCGGTGCCACGAAATCCTCCATACGTTTCCCATAAGACACGATTAAGTGTCGGACTAGCTGTGTTACGATGGAATGCCAGTGCATAATCGGGACGGTATTTGACCTCTCGCGATGCAGGGACCACGCCAGTATGTCGGAGCTAGGCACGTGTACGTGTGATTCAAAATATATGTGTCTTTGACCGGACGGGATCGGTCACGCCCGCAATGGCACGCCTCCAAACCTCAAGTCAAGGGCTCGTTTGAGAACTTATCTGCTGGCTATACATAAGTGTTGCACGCTTGCCGCGTCTGCTCTTATGTTGATGAAGCTCAAAACCGCTTGAAGACTTATTTGAGGTACCAGAGCTGCTTGACGGACGAAGGAGCGTCACCCCGACCTGAAATCACTTTCTTGGATTCTGCAGGTCTCTTCTCTGAAAGAGTCGCCCGAGTGACAAGTTGAGGGCATGCACCTGCAGAGCAAAGTTGATTAGGGGCTGCTTAACAGCAACATATCAATGTGGCACCAAAGGCTGGAATCGAGGAAAACTTGCGAATGACGATCGTCGTTGCAACGCGACACTCTTCTAAGCGGGCCAGCTTACGTTGCTGTGATTGACACCGAATGCGCCTCGCTCGCGCTTGAAAACATGAATATTACACTTGGTACAGCAAGCCAGCCTACCGGCAAAATGTTAGCGGCCTTCATCAATCTGTACGGTAGCTCGGACAGAGAAGTTGAGAAGCGCTGTGGCATGAGAGAGCGTTTGCTGGAATGTACTGAATATTCAAGCAAAATGAGACGTCAGGAAACCTAGAGGGAATTACCTGACTGAAGGTCAGGCGTAGGGCCTTGCTTCACGGACAGAAAACAGTCTCCGGAGTTGGATGCGTTTCTTATGCTCGTAACCTCCGAATGTTCAGTACCGACCCGGTGTCGTCGTCGAGCACCCAGTCCTGCGCAGAAAGGAGGTCGGAGGGAAAAGTCAGATCGTTCTGTATAGTGAGCTCAAGCCAACGTCCGGGTAGGGTTAGTATGGGGGTTAGGGTGTTTACAGGTGTGGAGCGGGCGATTATCTGGGTTAAGATTTTCAGGGTTAGCTTCGTTCTTATTCTAACTTGAGCTTGATGTACCTATTCTAAATAAGAAGAAGTCAGGTTCCCCAAGACAATGGTTGACAGGCTGGACATCTTCAGACACTTGAACGGCTCCGAGGGCTTATCGAAAATGTGTTGGTTGTTGCCGCGGGGGGCCTCTCAGGGGGTGCCATACAACTGCATGCAAAACCATTGTCTCCCTGTTGTGAAAAGGGGTGCAGTTTCGCAATCTCGTGGCAATCATATCAACTTACCAGCCAGAGTGGTTGCCTTTTTCCAACGCAATAAAACAGCAACCTGATACTCTCAACAGGGATTTTAAGGGAGAAGCATTCAGCCTACTTTTAAAACACTGCTAAACGACGCGTCCCTTCCAATGACCGACTGCCTTGGCGTTTACAGTCGCCGAATGACTGTCTGGTGTTCCGATCCTAACAGCAACACGAAGTCGATCTTCGTTACTCGATGACACCCCCAGCAACGCAGTATAGGGGCCCTCTTCGAAAAGACCAACCGGTCAATCGACGCACACCTGAGTCTTCGAACAGCAGCAACGCAAAATCGATGATTGTAGCTTTTGCTTTAGCCGCAAACCAGGCCCCCTCTAAGAACATAAACCGGTCAAATGGGCGCCTGGCTGAGTCTTCCAACAGCACCCGTCATACGCACTCTCCAACGTCGCCAAAATGCAGAGAAGAGCCAACCTTTCGTACCCTCGAAAACACGACCTTTGTGAATAAAACCAGAGCCAATCCTGAATACGCTGTGCTCTTACTTAAGTCTCCCAGCAGAAATGCTCGTATGTGATCCCCACCCGTCGTACGAATTTCAAACGGGGGACAAGTTCCGCCATCAAAAGCACGACCTCTGTCAACATAAGCAGTGTCAACCGTTGGGGCATCGTTTACCTGAGAGTTCCAGTAGCAAGCTCGTATTGATCACCGCTTGTTGTACGGATTTGAAAGGCGGGAAACTCAATAAGTTATCTCATCAAAGGTTGAAACAGAGCCGTGCCAGATTCGTCTGCGCATTGCTTACCTGAGTCTTCCAGCAGCAATCTTCATACGTGATCCCTGGCCGCTGGCACGGGCAGGGCGCACCAGGGGACAGCCGCCGCAGCACCGCCCCCGCGTCCAAACCCTCCAAACCCCGCCCGTGGCACTCAAGCACCGGCGCGCGGCTCCCACAGCGGCACAGAACGGGCGGCCGCGGGTCGCGGCCGCGACGCTCGACGAGCGCCCGAAACCTCGAAACCCTCTCCCGTTGCTCGCGGTCCAGATCTGCCCGGGAAACGTGCTCGACGAGGCTCGGTTGTCCGTTCGTGCCCCGGTGAAGCTCGACGACGTTCAAACCGGACAGTAGCTCTTCCATTCGGGCGGCTGATTCGGGCGTCCGATTTGGATCCTCTCCCGAGACGAGGTCTTCCACCGAACGGCCTTTAGAAGACCCCCCCGAAACGGTGGCTTTCGGATCCGCGCCGAACTTCAGCAGCAGATCGCAGGCTTCCCAGTCTCGCTGCTCCGCCGCCGCCGCGAGGGGGGTCATCCCCGGAAACAGGGGGTCGTTTTCCGCGCTCTTTGCCTCAGTATCTGCCCCCAGGGCGAGAAGATACTCTGCTACGACCAACTGCGTGTTCCCCCCGAGCCCGGTTGAGTAGTAATGCACCTCTAGAGCTTCGCTAAGAGCCTGGCCTTTTAGATCGGGGATCGCTCGGGCGAGTTCGAGGGGGGTAAGCGGGTTTTCGGCAGCGCGGGCTTTGGTGGTAATTGCGAGAAAGAGGGCGGTGCAGGGGTAGAGGGTGGAGGTTTTGACGTTGAGGCCGGCGCCGAGGCGCGCTATGTCGACAACTAGGGGGAGGTCGCCCCCAAGGACTGCCTGCAGGTCAAGAGGGAAATCTACGAACTTTTGCAGTTTTCTAAAAACCTCAATGTCGACCAATCATTCAAGTCATCCGACTTCAAGCAGCCCTGCAAAAGGCAAGCCTGTATCGCTCTTCGGTGTATTGAGTACCCAATTTGGCACAGGAACACATTCCTGGCTAGTCCAATACGCTGTCTGATGGACACTCCGAGATAGGTTGGAACTGTGTGCCAATGATGAAGTCGACGATTTCGGGGACTTCTGTCAAGCCTGGACGGGTACTGTGGATTCCCGGTGTGTCACAAACCTTGATCGAGAAGCTGCAAAACGTTGTTGGCAGAGGTGCTCATCATCGTTCAGGGAACGAGGGACCGGCCGACATGACTGTGCTTGAGCTGATTGCGGTGCAGCACTTTTCAGCCGGTTCTTGAAAGTGAGCTAGAGGGACTTCGACCGAGGGAAGCCGGACGACTTGGCTTGTAAGAGCTCATGCCTGAAAGTGCAATGTACAGAGCCTTCAGAGAGAAACAATTTCACGCCCCCATAGACGGACACAATCCGCAGGGGATTGTGACGGGGAATATTGCAATTAACATACCTGGTGAAGATAGTTGAGGCCTGTCTTTCTCGACACCGTCTTCCCTCCCGCAGTTGTCAGGCTGATGTTGACTTGCTTATCGATGTCGATGGTGCTCAGAATGTCAGCTCGTGTTTCCTCCCAGCCGGGAAAGCTTATCCTCTGTGGATCCGACTTGCTCTTCCACAACCGGAGCTGCAGAATGATATGACCAGATCATCATATCTACAACTTGCAATTTGTGGATATATCTCACATATATACATAACCCAGCTAGTGGGCTCAGTCAACGTACTCTAATTGATATAGCCTGCATATATATTCATAATTGTGGTGGCCCAAGCGCTTTGCGAAGCCTTGCAAGGCTCGCCTGTTGTCTGGCAAGAGAGCTAGCTTCATTAAGTTGCAGTGCGGTTGGCGGCCACCAAATCAAGAAATTTGCCCTCGTGCTTGACATTTTTCCAAGAAGACTTTGTCCTTAACAAAAGAAAGGGGCCCCTGGGGCCAGTCGCTGAAATGTGAAGCAGGCTGCGAACCCAGTTATCACAGAGTTGGTCCACAAGAGAAGCATCACAACCTGAACCCTGATTACACCTGAACCTTAGTGTTGACTTTGTTGTGACACTGCTCGCTACCACTACTCTTTGACAGCACCAGGCAAACACCGAATGTTTCTGAAGTCTTAGACTGTCCCCAAAGTAAGAGTCTCGCTGGATTCTGTAAGTCACAAACATGTGAGGGAGAGAACCAAATGCAAGTCTGAAACCTTCAGCAGCGTCATGAGTAAGCACCTGAGCATTTGTATCCGCCAGGTACTTCTTCAGTGCAGAGTCGTGTGGCTGCAGCTTTAGCGCTTCCTCTGAGGCCTCCACCGCAGACTGAAAGTGTCCGAGCGCCACGGACGCTTGGGCCCTCTTCGCATGCGCCTTCCACCAGGTTGGGTTGAGGCTAACCGCGCGATTAGCATCGTCGAGGGCGCTCACATAGCGAACTTGGTTGAGCAGAGCCTGACCTCTATTGGCGTACAAGATTGCATTTTCATTGTCTATGTCGAGCGCCTGAGAGTAGTACTCAACAGCTGCATCATAATCTTTACGAGCGAACGCTGCATTGCCGAGCGCCTTCAACTGCTCTGCATCGATTGCCTTCTTGCTGCTTTTCTCAGCGCTTTCAGCATTGCGTGGCATTGACTCTGGAGGGTTTCCCTGACATTCTCGACTCCCAGTCTCTTTACTGCCAGAATTAGCGCAGTCATCTTCTGGCCTGGAGACCTTTGGTTGTACCAACCCCCCGGACTGTGTGCTTGGAGACAGGAGGTCTTTCAGTCCACCTAAAGCTGCGAGCCCGCTCAGAGGGACCCTGGAAGCCATTGATCACGCTCGAAAGCACTCAAATCAAACCAGCATGGTTTTGTTCCTCGCCGCAGAAGAGGTAGCTCGGACGTTGTGGCCCTCTCAGGAAAGTGCTCTACAATAAGTGCGCAAGCCCAGGGTATCAGCGTCATTCAAGGTTGCAGCTGATTCAGCGAGCTGCACATGAAGCCCAACACATCTTCATCAGTGACAGGAGGTCCAGGAGTCAGCAGCCATGGCATTGGCATCATGCAGCGCCAGCTCATCCTTTTTGAAGTTTTGGCATGCTTTGCACAAGGGTTTGCGAACACTTTTAAACCTTTTATGGGACCGCGAATAGAGGGAACGGTTAACAAGCGGTATGCCGGCAAATGCAGACCTGGGATTGAGCCGCCGACCCGCGCGGGAGACCGGCGGCAAAACCGTCACTTCTTCATTGCGAACCCATATTGGCTAACCGCAAGCTGACCTATTAGGTAGTCAGAAGTGAATCAATTTCTAGCATTTTGATAATTTCAGCTCGCAGCCATCTTCTCCTTCCTACTAGACTTGGTGCGAATCTTTGACAGGCTACTGCAATTGTGGCTCCCTTCTCGTTTCTAGCGCCGCATAATAAAGCTGCCAGAGGTGTGTGGGAAGGGGTACAGAAAACTGGAATGTCTGTTGATCGGGAAAGCTGGGGACCACCAAGGCAGGAGCCGCTCCCTGGGAGAAGCCAGCCCTGCGAGCGGCTTGTAGCGAGTCCCCCAAAGACGGCTCCTTGAAGTGTTCAAAGCTTAGCATCCCTTGGTCCTCACGAAGATTACGCATTGGCAGTCACGCTGCTGAATGTTTGCAATGCCAGGGCCCCCAGTTGGAAAGCAGTCGTTCGAAACTCCGCCGCTCAGCTTCCGCAGGAAGCATGTGCGGCGGCGCCTCTGCTGACATGTGCGATGACGTTAGCTTGTTGCAAAGCAAAATGCATGCATGCAGGGGGGTTTTGGGGCCTGGGAAGGCGGCCATCACCTCCGTTCCGACAGTAGCGTGTGTGTTTCTTCTGCTGTGGTGGAGCAACTCCCTGCAGAGCCTGAAGCTTACGACGCATAGTCTTATGTCAACTATGCAACAGATGGTGTACGAGACACCAGAATCAGCGGCAGTGCAGGAGCATGTGATCACCTGGGAGAACATAGATAGGTGAGCAGTTGCTGTAGAGGGGCCCATGACCTCGTAAATTGGAAAAACAGACTCACGCCTGAGATCTAAAGTCAGCTGGTTTCTGGCTAAAAAGGCAGCAGTGTTTGAATGGGCTTGTCCAATGCTGTGATATGTAGCTGCTTCTGTTGAAAACTGATATAGCATTGCCTACTTGTCTGCTGGGGCACTCCTCCTGTCGGCATGAGGCTGGCAGATTAGTTCGTTAGACTCACAAGTATTTCAAGGGGTCAATGTCTTGACTCCTACTTTCAATAAGACCAGAGACCGTGAGGTGTGTTGATCTTTCCAGTTGCTCTTCTCCTGCTGCCTCACACAGGCTGGAAATCGTTGAAGAGAAGTTTCTTGGAATTTATGTGCACACCTGATTGTCGTCATACACAAAAGTTTTCTCAGAGGGTTAATAGCACCTGCTTCGCTTTGTGCTTTCCCTTTTGGGGAAGGGCCAGCTGACCTTGCAAAACAATCTGGACAGACTGTGAGCTCTAGCAATGTGCTTGAGCTTAAGTTCTGAATTTGGAGCTTCTCAGAAGCAGTGGCAATGTACAAATGGAGCGCCTCTGTCTTTTCAAGCGTGAGAAGCTAAATCCTTTCTCGTTTCAAACTGACAAGCTGTTATGAGCAACACTTTCTCTGAAGCAAACTTCGAGTAAAGGCAATCAACTTATTCCATGTTACTTTGCACCGCTGTGAGGGCCGACCAACAGGGGTGCACTCTTAAGGCCCTGCAGACCACTATCTAGCCCCTCAAAGAAAATCCTCTGACAATCATTGGGCAATCCGATCTGAACCACTCTGAAAATGGACTGGAGCATGGGAAATGAATCAACATGACGCACTTGTGCATCCCCCCCATCACTGTCCTCCGTGCTCGTTTTCTCGGGTGAGCAACAACGACAGCAAGTGCATCTCTGTTGTCAGTCCTTTGGAAGCCTGGCATTGTGAACGGCCATAAGCTATGCTGTCAATCACAGCGCATATCCCTCGGTCTCTTTGCAGCGTGCTCGGCAACATCAGCAACGATCATCGGGAGCTTATCATCACCACAATCTCCGGCCAGTACGAAGACGAAGACGTCGAGCGCCGATACGGCATGACGGCGTGGAATCTCAACTGGGTGGGCCACTTGCGGCGGCAGAACATATCCAACTTTTTGATCGTGGGGACCGATGAGCTCGCGTGCGAGATGACGCGCGAGGTGGGGATTCCCTGCTACGAAGACGAGCTGGGGTGGATGCCAGACGCCAAGTTTTACAGGGGAAGGCAGGTGGGAAACTTCACTTTTCCTGGAGTAAAAGTCTCTTTGGGTTTTTTGGGACCTATAAATGTGCTGTGAAAGTTCAGGGGGTTTAGCCTTGGGGGAGTTGCAAACCAAAGTGGTTAGGAAGGGGGTAACCTCCCCCTGCAAGAGGGGGCCGCCAAAGCCTGAAAACCAAATGGGGCCAAACGGGAGTGTGCCAGAGTGAGGGCACTGTTGTTATTTGATTGGGCTGTTGGACTTTGTGCACTGAGGGTATAGTGGGCATATTCCTTTTCATCTGAGCTGTTAATCTTGTCAGTAAGCGTTGTAAGAAAGCTTGCTGCCAGACGGAGCGAGTGCGATCGTAGCAGCTTTCAACTCAGATCATCTGAGTAATAGAGAAAGATCGTCAGCCTAGTTGGTCAAGTCTGTTGGTGAGACATAATGTCGAGACGTAATATCTATGTATCCATCATGTTCCTTTGACCGGTAAAGTTCCGAGCATTGCAGACGGTGATTTGCCAACAGGGATTGAGCTGGTGAGACACGCATCTTTCGGCTCGCTATCGCACTCCCCTTGTCTCAAAAAGGAGGGACGAAACCGAAAATTTCAACAGTTAAGTCATAAACTGCAGATTTTGAATGCAAGTTATTTTTGTGGTTACAGGTGGGGTTAAAGTGGTTCTACCTCCAGCAGATTGTGGCCCGCGGTTACCACCCCATCTTTTTGGACAATGACGCCGTCGTGCTCCAGGTGAGGCCGGGTTACTTAACTACCCGACTTAACCCCGGTGTTTTGCAACTAGAAGGTTGAGAAACTTGAGGTTGCTCCAATGAGATGTCTTCAGAAGGTCGAAGGGGCGTTTACGTCTCTGTACTTCCTAAGCCCCATATCACGGAAGGACAGTCAAAGTGATACGTTGACCAGCACGAACTGAAAAGTGTGCAATCGAGGTGCGAACTATAAGAATTTTGAAAATTATAAAAGCGAAAGTATGCGGCTTATAACGTTCTCTTCAGCCGGATCAGAAGACCTGGCTTCAAAGAGCAGGATCGTGAGGACAGTCGTCGCCAAACAGAGCATTATACGACGAATTAGGTGCTTATGCTTTTGGGTTTCGACTCTTGAAAGATAAGATGATTCGGAATGAGACAAGCGGACAGAGGCATCCAGTTTCGGTTTCCGGTTAATCTCAGACATGCAAGAGAGGAGCGGCACCCACTGTAAGATTGCTGTTTGAACGGCTGGCACCAACGACAATGTTTGGGTTCTAGAAACCAAGCAAGCTTTGCTCTGCTTCGCAGGATCCATTCCAGCATTGGGACAGGGCGTTCGACATTCAGGTAAGCAAAACTGATGCCACGTGCTCTACTGCACTGGTGAAAGCACTCGCATAGGTGTCGATCGGAGTGCCTTGAGCGGGTCTCGTTCTGTGAATTGGAGAAACTTGAAATGAGAAAAGATAGAGTTTGATCCTGCTCTGTGTACCCGCTATGTAGGCGAAAGGTGATGACACTCAACTGTGTTGTGGAATCTCCTCGATTAGGACCGTGTTCAGAGAAGTACTTCCACGATTTGAATCCGCACTATCAGTCCTTCGACCCTAAAGTTGTGACCGACACGGAGAAAGATTTGCGTCACTCTCGCCGAGGGAATGGGCACCCTAAGGACGCATTGTCGACTAAAGAAGTGACACCTGTCCGTGACTCATTCGGGTCTCCCTTGCGAATGTCGTCAGATGGATTAGGCATGCCCTTCGAGGATGAAACATGGGACATGAAAACAAGGTCTAGCTTATGAAGTATAATGGCACGTGGTCGATCGATCCGCTTGATAGTCCGCACGAAAATCCATACGTTCAAGCTCTCGAGCGCCAGCTTAACACGCGGCGTCAGAAGGTAGGGCTGAGAATGTGCCACGTGGCATGCAGGGGCTGTACGACATGAACGGCGGGCTCGAGCCGGCGGAGGTGTCGGACTACCACAACGAGAGCGGCGCCATTTGTCCGCTGGTGACGTTGGGCGACTATTTCACCAACTGGCCGTGCATGAGCACGGGCGTCATGTTCGTGCGCGCGACGCGCGCAAGCTACGCCGCGATATCGGCTATGGTAGGTTCTGACGCTTCTTGTCTCGTCTTGCGCTTGGTTCTGATCATCGCCTTTTCAGATTCAAACGGTCCACTTTACCTTTCCGCCGGAACTGACAAGTTCGGGGACACGACTACCAATGCACCCGCTTTTTGTGCGTGCAACTCGCGCGAGGTACGTCGCAGAATTCGGCGGCGGTGGGTCCTCTCCTTCCTCGTTTCTGCCCGTCATACTTGGTTTTGGGGATTGGTTTATAAGCTTCACGCTCCTGGTCTTCATTTTCACCGGATCAGACAACGGACTATCAAAGCTCCCCAATATGTGTGCGCCAGGCGGGGGAGCTACGCGGCGACTCCCGCGACAATGGGTCCCGACCGTGCCTATTGCGTAACTGTGCGGCGTTTCATTCTTTGAGCGGTTCGGTCTTTTAATGTCGAACGGTCTATGTTTGATTTCCGCTGGAAAATAACAAGCTTTGGGGGCACCGGTAAGACTTACGGGCAATCAGTGCATTGGTTTCGTTTGTGAGCGCAGCGTGTGGGAGCCACTTAGCAATATCCACTCTATTGGTTCCACACCGCTTCTTGATTTTCGCCTGATACTTCCTTGCTTCAAGCGATGTAATCCTTGGATGTCAAACTTGTCTGAAGCACTTGGCGCCGTTCGTACCGACGTCATCTACCACGCCCCACGTCGCTCACCTCGCAATCCTCATGCTGTAAACGCGAAAGCCCTCTCGTGCTGACGTCACCGTGTCGCGTGGCAGGTCTTCCACCTCTCCCGGCAGCCCGGCTTCTGGGAGCAGGCCATGTGGCAGACGGAGGTCCTCCCGTTTCTCTCTGCCGACGAGCGCCGCCGGCGCTTCGTCTTCCCCCCCCGCCGTGCGCTGCTGGACGCACCCCCCCCTCGCGAGCGGCGGCGCAAGCTGGCGGGACTCAAGTTCCGGCTGCTGCCGCTGGAGAAGTTCCACAATGTGAATACGCTCAGGGCGCGCCGGAGGCTGGGCCTGCCGGTGGACAGCGTAATTGTGCACTGCGGGTGGGTGCCGTGTGGAAATGTTTTTGATTGCTTGGAGTTCCAGACTTTTAGGGTTTCCAGGTTTTTGGGTTGAATCTGCCTTAACATTTCAATTGGTTCGCGGATTCGTGTATCCTGCTCTGCTTTCGGATCTTTTCTCCGGTCAACTTGAAGTTCACAATCTTCGTCTCGAACCCAACTTTGATTTTTACTTCTTCTGTTGTTGCTTTACTTGCACTCGTGCTTAGATCCTGCGGGCTTTGCTTTTTGCATTACTGTGGTTGAATTGTTGGAGCCCCAGACACAACTCTCGACTCCAGAACCACGTTCATCTATAGATAACCAGGGAATTTAACTTCTTTCCAGTAGACAGTGGGTTGCGAAGTCCTTTTGTGAAAAAGCGGGATTGATAAGATTGCTTCCTTCGCGAACGTGGATCAACTCCGGTGGCAACTCGTGTCTCAGGCACTACATCAATTGGACGAAGGATCCAAATATTTTAGGTCAAGGTTCTTTTGAACCGATGTTACTCTCTAGAATTCCGTTTGCTCCTCCTTGACCCCGCCTTTTGTGTGCAGGTATATCCACGGTCTTGATAAGATAATCCACCTTCGGGCCTTGCGACTCTGGCTTTTGCCCATTGACAGCACATTGTATACAAGAACACAAAAGCATAAATAAGGGTAACGAAAGCTCGACTTCATACTGCTGCGTCAGCTCCGCGTTCAGAAATATGGATAGGATTGCTTGGGCACTCTGATTTTAGTAGCCGCGCGGCCGCCAATCTTGCCAGCATTTTTATATTTTACACATAGGAAGAACAGTGTATACAAGTTCACCGCACTACGTCCAACTAATCGGGTTCCGGGGGCAATTCGGCCACATGCGAACGAGATCTAGCAGCGACTAAAACTGCCTATAGGCCAAACGCTTCGACAATAAGTACAGCTGCGCTTGCCTGAGGTGCGGCCCAAGAAAGGATAAAGCAATGTACAATATAAGGACAATGTTAACTTTTCGTGTCACTATATGAGTCAGGGATCAAGGATGGGCACCCGGGCGCTAATTGGTCTCCCATGGTACATACGATACACGTCTGCAGTCACTCCAATATGGTATACGCGGTCACAGCTAGATAGAAGACACGGCGGTAGAGGGAGATATCGCCTAGGCAAACTGTCCGACTATACCGGCCTACTGGTCTCAGTTAAGTTGTACACACTCGGTAAATTGGCGATGCTCCAAACCAGGCGGCCTCCGCATGTCATAGCCGCCCACGCCATGAGGCGCTGACGGTCACTGTACTCACATGTGCATGTGCCAGGCTGGGCCGCTTTATGATTCATGCGGCGCGCACAGCAATATGACTCTTAGAGAAACCACATACCACGTGACTATAACGTCAGACGGTGGTCATGTGCTGATCATGAGCATGCTTCGATGATGGATCGATATAAACGTATATGATCATGCAATGCTCGGCTGGCCGGTGCACGGCAAGGGGTTCCTCTTGCTGCGCGCGCAGCCATCAGCAGGGCCGGGCCCAACGCGTTGGTACTGTGCACTGTATCGGACGGCCGCGGGATCCGCGCGCCACGTACTAACGGCAGCACTGAGCGACCAGCAGGAACGTACGGCAATATAGCTCTACATGGCCGTGAACTTCACATCACAAATTATACATATGATCTCGAAACTAATTGAATCCAGTTGTTTATGCTGGCAAGCTATAGTGCGATATAAGAAATGAAGACAGCACGTTCTGCATATGGAAACACGGAGTAAACTCAGGACGCGCGCAATGAACGTCACTAGCCCAATGACCGGCCAGCATGGCAATCCGCAGGCACTAGCTTCAATGTGACACAATGACAACAACCAAGTCGGAATACTACAGCGTACGATTGCTCGGGTACAGATACAATCAATTCTGATGCACACCATACTAAGACTAGCTTGAAAGCTGCGCTAGGAGCACTGAGTTACTGACATGGCACCGATCATGCAACCAAACTTTCCGATAGTAGACCGTGACAAGGAACCTCCTGACCAAGCTTTTCTTAACCCTTGCCTTACAGTACTACAAGCGCGCTGTGTTTGACAGCTGTAAATGATAATATTACTGACTGACTTCCACAAATCTTTAACAACTCGATGCTCATGCAAGCTGCGCTCTAAGCTCCTCTTACAGTCCTTTGGCGTCAACAATGCCCCGGAGCAATCTATAAGCAAACCCATCCTCTGCAATAGCGGGGCTCCAGCATGACGAGTTTCGACTGTTTGTAGGCCAGTGGAATTGCTAGTGAATCCGTTCAAGTGTTTGGAAGGCAAGAGAAAACCTTATCTGCCCGTGGCACACGGACTCCTATTCTGCCGGCCCGGACAACTGCAGCCGCAGCGGGGCAGCCCTTGGCGAAGCTAGCGCCAGGATGACACTGACTCATTGTACAAAGTAGTCTGGATTTCAGCGATGCTCAAAGCCTGCTTCCCGGGCCCCGCAGGGCTGGGAAGTTTGTCCGAGTACAAGAACGCCTGCGGCGCGACGGGAACGTCTTTTGGGTCGTGCAGATGCTCCAGGTACGGGTGGGCGAGCGCGGCGTCGACTGCAGTAAGGGCACATCGGGGTGATTTAAGGCTTGTTTTGGGCATTTTTGGCCTTATTTGTACGGCTCAAGCCGGGCTTGATTTGGGGCTTATTGTGGGCTGGTTTTGACCTTGTTGTAGGCTTGATTTGTGCTTATCGTGGGCTGTTCTAAGACTTGTAAAAACGTAGCTTATAGGAACGAGGTAGGAATACCGCTGCCGCTACACGAAAGGACCTGTGACACCTTCGAAATGCTGACAGCGTGCAACAGTGTCTGACCTGGGCACTTGCAAGACTGCGCTTTTCAGAAATATCGACAAACTACGCACCCGCCTTTCAGGTACTGCACGGAGCAAAAAGCCGCAACCAAGCACGAAGCGAGGAATCGTAACGTGCAAGTAGCAATTGAACATCGTGGTCCAAGGTGAAGGATCTGCATTTTTCCCGCTTGTGCTCGTGATTCGATATGTCAACTGCGGTGCTTTCTCTTGAACATTGTTGCATTACAAACCTCACACTCCAAGTCTCCTTAAAGTCGCAAAACGGCGGCTTCAACGATCGGACGCATGAAAGCCCTACCGCCGCAGCGTTCAGATGCACTCTATCATCAGCGCTTGCAGTGGCCTCCCTGCTCCACAAACTGTACCACTGCTCAAACTCTTAGTCAGAAACTTCGAACAAGACCGGAAAGTCATTCGGACCTTAGCAACGCTTTAATGCTTGAGGTTACGTCACCCTCAACATTGACGGTCGGTTTGAACGATACGATGATTTAACGTGATTTCTGCCTCACCGGTAACCGTCTACGGGGTCGATTGTAAGAAGCGGTCCTAGACTTGAAGTTGCATAACCCTTAACATCCAGTCGACGATCACTCCTACAACAAGACGGATCACCGGTGATTTCGCCTCACCGGTAATCCTCCTCCCGGGATCGAACGTGAGCATCCGGTCCAGTAAGTCGAGCGCCTTTTCGGACCCCTCGGGGACGATGGACGCCCACGATACCTTCTGGCGCCGCGGCAGCGACCGCATGAAAGCGCGCGCGTTGGCGCTCGTCACAAACGCGAGCTCCGCGTCCGAGGGCGAGCCCAGCACCTGCGGGTGACGTCACTGGAACTTTTAGCTTCCGAGAATCGGGCATGATTTGCGAAGAAACAGTATCAAAACCTCAATGACCGGTTCAAGTGGATGCAGCACATCAACCCACGGGAACAGCTGGCACGTTCATCTGTACTTATGCCATTTCTCAAGCTCTGGGCGATTGGACTTGTGGTCCAAAGAGTTCCAGATTCAAGGGTTTCTGAAGTCGCACTTTTGAATCAAGCCTGACAACAGATTTTGGTCCCACCTCGAGAATGAGGTTGACTTGGTGAATGGCATCCACCCACAGACCAGCGGCCGCTTGAGCTCGTAAGAAGTCCCTCATATTGTCTACATTTCGAGCGCATCAGAGTCTTGCTTTTCAGAATTGACATCTCAAGGCTTCGATTCCCCAGAGAAAACCGTGGGTGCATGAGACTTCGGAGCCAACCTCGAGAATCAGATTGAGTTGGTGAAGCGCATCCACCCCCGGAAACAACGGCCGCTTGAGCAGCAGCTCCGCCAGGACGCACCCCGCGCTCCACACGTCGACAGCTGGCGTCGTCTGACTGCACGCCAGCAGCAACTCGGGGGGCCGGTACCACCGCGTTGCCACCACTTCGCTCGCGCCCTCGTCGCCCCATTGGGCGCCAAAGATCGGCCGTGCAGCGCCAAAGTCGCAGACCTACAGAGGTGATATTTTGTATCGTAAACCAGCAACTTAAAGGGAGGTTCCATCGCATTGCCACCACTTCGCTTGCCCCTCATCGCCCCATTGGCCTCCGAAGATCGGTCGCGCGGGGCCAAAGTCGCAGATCTGGAGGGGGGCAAAAGATAAAGGTTCAAACCAGCAAAACAAAGGGGCGATTCTGCCGCATTGCCACCTCTTCGCTCAGGCCCTCATCGCCCCGCTGCCCGCGAAGATCGGTCGCTCATCACCAAAGTCGCCAATCTGCGAAGAGGAGCTTTCTAAACAGCAATTTGAAAGCAATCACGTCGCCACAACCTCGCTCGCCCGTCATCGCCCCACTGCACGCCAATGATTGGCCACGATGTGCAAAGTCGCAGATCTGCAAAGATTCAATTTGGGGGTCGGCGCGGCCTCATTGTCGCTATCCTGCTGGAGCGTGCCGTCACTGGCGCCGGCAGATCGGCTTATCATGCGGCACCCGAATCGCAAAGCTGAATAAGTCAAAAGCAGAAGTATACGCGAATATAGAAGCAGTACCATTGCTGTAAGACCGTTTTGCTCGAGCCCGCATTGCCAAGTTGCGCAAAGCCAAGGTGCCAGCGCAATGTCGATATCGCAGGTCTGGGGGAACTGACTCGTACTTCATCGACTCAAAAGCGATACTCAGTAGGGCGATACTGGCGCGTCGCCCTACTCGCTCAAACCCCTCGTCGCCAACTGGGATTCGCTGGGTGGCCCAAAGTTGCAAAACCCAAAAAAGTGGATCAAAAAGAAATGGGATGACAGGAAAAGGAGCGAAGGAAGTGTTCTGAGCGTGTTCTTGCATTGTGCCCTCTCTTCTGCTGCAGTGCACTCGTCCTCTCAAGCATACCGCATCTTCGCTCCATAAGCATGTCGTATGTTATGATTCCTGCATCCTGTTTGAAGGACTTTCTGATGGAGTCGAGAAGCTGACCTTTAGATCGCAGGCCGCGTTCACGAGAATGCTGCTCGGCTTCAAATCCCGGTGCAGCACGTTAGCGGAGTGGAGGTACTTAAGACCCCGCAGCAGCTGGTACAGAAAGAACTGTATGCAGGAACGAAGGCCGATTGAAACCAACTCCCATTTCTAGAATTGGGATGTCCTTCGTAAAGCAATAAGAGCCCACAACCCGTGCCCAAAGGATCGACTCATGCAATCAAGCTTACGCATTAACAAAAACATCGACAGCTACACAGGCCTGTAGACGCACGCTTCACTTGGAAATTCGGGTCCGGATCCCTCTCTGGAGCTTCGAGATTTCTGCTGGAGCGCTTTGACCGCTTACCTGGCAGTGGCTCTCACTGAGCGGCTCCTCGCTGGCAAGAAGGTGGAAGAGATCCGAGTCCATGAGCTCGAAGGCGATGTACACGTCCCGGAAGTTGCGCAGGCTAGGAGGGGGCAGCACGCCTTTCATTGCGACGATCTGCAGGAATCCAGATAAACGCGTTTTGGTCCTTTCCTCGACTCTCAAACTGTTCCTGTAAACTAGTCTTCGACTTCACACCGTCATCCTTATGCGCTCCCCATCTGTACTCCGTGGATCCCCCAAACAACCCTGCCCGTCCCAGGCCACCAGTCTTACTAATCCGAACGCTGTTATTACAGGAGTTCCGTGAATCTTCCGCGTTTTTCCCTCTGGTCTCGAAAACCAAAAGTCAGAAACAGAAATCGTATGGCTCCGGTTACTGTGCCGCATCTTGGGTCGAGCACCAGGAACGCCAACCTTTGCGATCCAGCGGAAAATTCGCGCTTAGCGTGGCAATCTAGCACTCTGTCGACACTTCCTTGTGCTCAAAGATCTTTGCAAATCGGGATACAATGGAACTCACATTGTCGTGCTTCAGGTGTTGCAGCAGTCGGATCTCGCGCAGCGTGCGCCGAGCTTCCGCCCCGTCTCGAAACGCGTCGCTGATCTTCCGGATCGCAAACTCCTCCCCACAGTCCGCCAAGATTGCGGCGCTGCAAGGATACAATCTTTCTGCACTGCTGACCTCTGATTTCACGAAGTCGTCATCACATTTGGCTGGGATTGCGGCTCCCGTTTCGGGTTTGTATAAAGAGGAAGGTTTCATCACTGATGCTCCGGTTTGCGATGTCGTGCCCAATACCGCGAAGACAACTCTACAGGATGATTCTGATCCACTTGATCATTTACGAAAGCAGAGGTTGAACTTCATCGGAACGTCTTCAGCAATCGCTTTCCCCAGCTTGAGGTTTGTGGAAACCCCATACCTGACAATCCTAACATGTCAGGAGATCTCAGTCGTACTTACCAGACGTCTCCTTGCTGGCTCCGCCCCACCAGCTTGCCCGGCTTGAACTTCGCGGGAATTTCGAACGAGTTCCCGCAAATCGTAAAGCTGACGTAGTCCGAGTGCGTCGGTGACACGGCCGCGTCTTGATGCTGCCACTCGCCCAGCCACGCCAGATTTACCGCGGCGCCCTCCGGCGAAACCGGCGGCGGCTCTCCCTTCTGCCGAAACGACAACTCCCGTTCGAGCCTCTGAGCGCCTCCCTGTGTCGAAACAGTGGCCTCGCCTTTCCGGTCCCCTGTCCTGGCGGGATTCTCATTTTCGGGGGGTGCGGCTCCGCCCTTGCTGGACCCCCCCGCATCGGCGGAAGGTTCCGCAACTGACTGCCAAGCCTGCGCGTTGCCAAAGATGGACTCCCAGGAAGAATCTCCGAGCGTCTCGGCCGATTTCCCCGCAACGCCAAGGTCGGTCAACAGACTTCCCAGAGGCACGGTTACCCCCCCTCCAAACCCAGGAAGGAGCGGAGAACTAGGGGAGGGAACTTCTCCCCCGATTGAGTCCTGAAGAAACGCCTCGAGATCTGCCAGGTCGTCAGCAGTCGGGGCCCCCGTGCTAGAGGCGGGGGTGGTTGCTAGCTGCGCGCCGAGCGGGTTAAGCGGGCTCGGGTTTGCGGTACCACCTAAGTAAACCTGGTCTAACCTATTGCTGCTAAGGCCCTCTGGGAGAGGGGGAGCATTACCGGCTCCGGGCTTTGCTGCTGAAGCTACTACACCAGTCTTTCCTATGTGTGGGGGTGGGTTTGCACTGAGAAGCACAGGGTTTGCACTAACCAGACCGGGGTTAGCGACAACGCTCTTGGACCCGCCGATTGCCCCAAAAACGGACATGCTGGCAGCGGGGGTGGTGGGGACAACTAGAGCGAAGGGGGGGGAAAGCGCGGTTGCCGCAATCGCATCGCGAGCTTGCCGGGCTTGATTGAGCTCGCTGATGACGGACAAAATGCTCGTTCCGTCGAGGAGGGTCGTCGGAGACGTGGCGTCCCAAGGGGGAAGCAAGGCCGGGGGGCCAAACGGACTGTTGGCGGGGACGAGCCCTGCAGAGAGCGCTAGAGTTTCCGACTCAGCAAACGTTTCTTGCCTTCAGTCGGTCATCAAGTCTCTTCTTCACGTTTGTTGGGGCGGTGATTTAGGGCGCACGAGTTGACTCCAAGCGCCAACCCTCGCGATTGTGTGCATATGAAAGGGACATCCTACCTTTCTGAATGGAAATTATGCTTATCGTTGCGCCACACTTGCGATCTCGCATCTCTTGGAACCGCTACCAAACCTATCCATCTGCGTCTCCTCAAGCTCAAAGCGATGCGAATGGGATGGCAGAAAATATCCACTTCACCGAGCCGAGCATGTTTCTCTTGAACCCTGGGTTGGGGGCAATCTTTTGACGGCACCTTCTGATCTCATTCGCACAGAAAAGCTGGACGGAACAGAGCGCTACTGCCCTGAACTTGACATTGAAACGTTCCAGAGTTATGTTTGTGGCAAGCTTGTCGCGGTTTGTTGAAATCGAAGGACTGGAGCTGTCCTGCCACTTTGCTACCACAAGGCTGAACCTTTGCAGACTGGACTCTTTGTGTGCAAATCAGACGGCAGCGCTACGATTCCAAGCCTCGCAACTTTCCACAAACTGCCTGGCTAGAACAGTTTACATTCAAATCGTGTTGCTCTGGCGAATATCTGGCGCTACCGGTCTTACCTGCTAATTGCACATCCGGCATCTGCTCGTCTTCTTCCAGGTTTTCCCCACCTTCTCCTGCCGCCTCTTCTCCAGCATCTTGTGCTGCAAACCCCCGTTTCCTGTGCGGCCCCGCCTTATTATTTTCGGCCCGGGGGCTCTTTGTTACCAGAGATGTCAACGGCTTGAACGCGCGCCGCTTCAGAATGCTCCCCCGCGGATCCTCCGCGCCCCCCCCCTCCGCCGACCGCCTCACTTCCTCCGTTGTGTGGTGTTTTCTCGGTTGAGAAATGGGCGTCTTTGCCCCGCTCCGGTCGCCCGACAGCCGATTCGACGACACGGTCATGCCCGAGTCCGCCCGGTCCAATCTCCTCCCGCTACTAGTTGTTCCAGCGGACTGAGCCGCCCAGCCCTTGAGCAGCGCCGAATCCCGCTCGAGCAACAAAGCCGCCCCCCCCGAACGCGGATGGGGCTGCTCCACAATATGTACCCCCCCTTGGGGTGGCCGGACCTCCACCTCTGGTTTTGCAGGCTGTGCAAGGACAGCCGCAGGCTGCGCTTTTGCAGCCCGGGGGGGGAGGGTGCGCTCCGGCCCCCCTTGCGATATTGGAACCACCGTAGGCAGCAACCCGGCCAAATCGGCGCTCTGAACTGAGAACGGCCGGTTGTTTGTGAGCGCTCCGCCTCCCCCCCCCGCTTCCGGCTCCGCCGCCCGCTGCATGTCCAGGCTCTGCCAGTGCGGCGGCATCATCGGCTTCTCCCGCTGCGCGCTGTGCGAGATGATGACCTCAGCGAACTGGCCCTCGGCCTGCGCCGCGCGGCGCACCGAGTTCCGGAGGGGGGAGAGCGTCCAGGCTGGGCTCCTGAGTAGCTCCCTGACCCCCTGCGGCGTCGGAGTCCTCGGAAACGCGCCCTTGAGCCATGACGGCGTGCCGGGGGACGCGTTCATCCATATGGGAGTGAGCGGAGAATCCACCCCCTGAAAGATCTTGTTTCCAGGGAAAAGGAGGACGTCTCGGGGGCTGACCCCCGGGGGGAGGGGGGGGAGGGGCTTGGCGGCAACATCGGGGGCGTCGCCGATCTCGAGCAAGTCCTCAAGGTCACCGGCGATGGACTCGGCGATCGAGTCCGCCCGCCAGGGATGTTCTTTTGAGTTCATCGCGCAGTGGGGAAGAGCGCTCGGGGAGCGGGGGCGTCAACCGTGCATGGTGTAGCGACGTGTGCGGGGCCTTGACCTGAGGGGAAAGTCTGGAAGAAGTGAGTCAAAAAGAGAATGGAAAACCAGCTCGACGCAGGCCGGACGCTAGTGTTAATGAAATGTGACTCTGTTTGTAAGATGAGGCACTTGAATAAAGAATCAGTCTTCCTTGAAACTGCTACATTTGAGTGGTGGTGAAACAGGTGGACCTGAAGGAAATTTCCTTCTGAGAGAGAGACGTCAAGGAGAATGACGCAAAAAAACTTTTGTAATGTCATGATCAGCAAAAGCGATGTCATCAACACAGGCTCCTTCTTACGATGTGAAGGGATCATTTTGATCAGCTGTAAGAATGGAAACAAGTAGTTTCATAAAAGCAATAGAAACACCCCTTTCTTCATCAGCATTTATTGCGCGCTCGACCTCTCCCACAGAAAAGTCAGGACACCGCATTTTATTGCAGAGAAAGATTTAGAATCTCCAAGGTGTTTCATAGAAGTTTACTTTTAAGCGTGCAACACAACTGAACCTCTCAATGGATCAAGCATCAACCAGATTGACAAGCACCCTGACTGAACAAACTCAGCTCACTGCTTTGGAGCTGGTAATACATGGACGAGAACTTAAAGCTTGGAAATTTCTTCTAGAAAATCAGATTGTAAACAAAAGGTGTTTGTAACTTACTCAACCTTGGTTTCCCCCAGTTCCACTGCCAGGCAGTTTTGTCATGCCTTTACATTCTCTAACTATTGCATTGTAAACACAAGTCTAGAAGAAGGACTGCCTCAGCACTATGATATGATTAGCAACTCCTGTAGATTGTAATGTGCTTGCAGATGCAGTTTATCCTGTGCGTCCCAAGCATGTGATGCCTGCGCAGCTTGCTCTGAGGTCGTTGTAACATGTATCTCCGTTCCACAATTGCTCCTCAAAGCTAACAGCTTGGCATTGTTCTCAGCCTGAACGTTCCCGCTTTTCTCAACGTCGACTGCCTCGTTCTCAAGCCCCCCCCTCCCTCCTAGGCCTCGGCTCAGCGCAGATCATTAGCGAAGCCCCTTTCCCCCCCATCAGAATACCTACCCCGCCCCTACTACAAAATGACGGTACCCTAATATCATCTTGAACGCAGTACGTGTGACTTTATTGCATTGAAGGTACGACAGTTTACAAGTTTGCATCGGGGAAAAGGTTTTCTTCCTTCTGTATGCGAAAACTGACCAATCCTTTGCGTGGCCGGATTCTGTATCGCCTTTTCCAACAATGATTTCTGTACGTCGACAGCCGTGATGACCGGTTTTCTGACTTTCTTTACCTGATCTGGCCTCGTAAAGTCAGCTCTCCGTAACACGGTCAGAAGGTCCGTGTACTCGGTGAACGGTCGTAGTTGGGGTGAGTTCCGAGCTTTTCGAAGGTTCCGTGCTTATGCAAGCGGCAAAGTGGGCGGCAGCCTTTGGAGAAGCACGAACATGCGGTTCAGTTTCTCCTGGATTTTGCCCAGCAGCGCCACTTTGCCGCCGTCATCGCGGCCATCGTTTCGCGCGCGCGCGCGGCGGGGGGCAGCATTGGGACCATTCCCCACAGCGCCGCGCGCGTCCCCCCTTTTTGTCCGACCCACGCATAGTGAATGTGCTTCTCCGTAATCGCAACGGTCGAACTAATAGAACCCTCACTCTTCTCCTTCAGATGAACGGCGATCGTACACAGCGGATTATCGGCCAGGTTAAGCCCGACCGGGAGGTTGACCAGGGGTTTA